TATAATTTTTTCTTGCAAACAGGCAAGGAAAAGCTGATATGAATCGGCTTTTTTCTACAGAGTGATACTAAATAATGAGAATATTTCTGAGGATTTTTTTCTTATTATCAAGGAATATACACTTATTGCATAATATTAAGAAAAAGATAATAAAATCACCCATAACTGCCCTCACTAGAGATAACTATTCTTTATATCTTATTGTATTTCCTTCGTCTTTTATATGCATATATTTTATGACCTAGTTATAATTGTGCTGTATATAATTTTATATCTTACTTTTTCTTTTAATATTACAAAATTTTTTATGTTTTTAGGTTAAGCATTGGATAGACTGTTGTAAATCATTTAGTCTACTACTTATGTTGGAAAATTTTGGTTGAGTTCATTTTATTTTTCTATTTAAAATAAGCTTGTAATGAATACCTTTGAACTTTTTCTTTTTGAGGAAGACTAGCCCTGAGCTAACATCTGCCGCCAATCCTCCTCTTTTTGCTGAGGAAGACTGGCCCTGAGCTAACATCTTTGCCCATCTTCCTCTGTGTTATATGTGGGACACCTACCACAGCATGGCTTGATGAGCGGTGCCATGTCTGTACCCGGGATCCAAACTGGCGAACCCCGGGCCACAAAAGCAGAACATGCGCACTTAACTACTGTGCCACCAGGCTCGCCTCACCTTTGAACTTTTATCTTTTAATACGAATTTGATTATTTCCTTAGTATAGTTTCCTAAAAGTGGAATTACTGGGGCAAAACTTATAAACATCTTTAGGGCTCATGATACGCACTGACAAATTGCTTTCTAGGCAGGTTTTTTAATTTATTCAATTTTCTGTTCCCTCAGAAGCATATAGAAGTGCCTGGCAAGATATTTTTTAAACAAACACACTAGCATGTCGACACCAAGGTACATGTGGTTCTCTTCAGAGGAGGCACCTTGGGAAGCTAGGCTTTCTTCAATGCAGTCGCCTTTGTGTGTGCCACCACTTCACAGCTGCACGTGATCTTGGACACAGAGTAGCATTACTCAGTTGACCATCTACTCTATTCACTAATCTTGGTTCTGAGTAAGTTTTGGCTGTTTTTAAAAATTGCATCGTCAGTTCTCAAAGAATAAACGTTTGGCCCCCTTGAAGATATCCAAAAGCTGTGCGTTATCAGCTCTGAGGCTGTATCTTGCCAGCAATTAGGAAACAATTGCTACTTGCTTTTCCTTCTTTAAGGACCCTGCCCCGCTCAGTGCTGCTGTGACCATGGAAGAAATGCCACAGAAAGGCCGGCAGAGAGGAGGAGGAGAGGGGTGGTGTGGTGTGTGCTGTCCACAGCCTCTTCCCCCGGCTGTTTCTAAGGGACTGTGGTCACTTGGCTAATCTGATAGAGAGAACAAATTAGACCTGCAAACAGGGTATTAGCATAGTGTGTTCACGGTGAGGTAATTTTATTAAAAAAAAAGGTTTTTTTCCTATGGAATGCTATTCTACGAATTCTGTGCTATTCTATGCTGTGATAATGGATTTTATTTGATGAGAGAGAGAAACAGAGAGAGAGAGAGATACTAGGGGCAGAGAAAGCAAATGAGGCAAAATGTTAATAACTGGGGAAATCTATGCGAAGGGTATATTAGTTATATTGTACTATTTTTGCTACTTTTCTGTAGGTTTGAAAAGTTTGAAACTGAAAAGCTGAGAAAAACAAACATCAGTAGGGAAGGAAAATAATTTTCCTTCCACTCTTCTAGGTTCTTGGCTGAGACCGCCCCCCATGTAATAAAAAGACAGATTAACAGGAGAAAAACAAATTTAATTATGTACACACGTACGGGAGCCCCACAAAGAAATGAGACTCAAAGAAGCGACCAGAGCAGGAAGCTTTTAGACAAAGAAAGAAATAACAAATTTGTGTGGAGTTGACAAGGCAGAGGGGTTTCAGCTAGGGGGAGTAAATGGTGAAGAATTAATAGGTTTGTTTATAGCCTTCTTGGCCTTAAATTCCCAGTCTCAGTTGATATAGATGTCCTTTACTCTCCTGGCACAGGGAGGGTACCTTTCACATAGGAGGTTTATTTCCTGCTTTCAGGAGGACAAAGGAAGGTCAGAGTGTCCTTCTTGCATTGGCTGTTTCTCGAGTACCTTTAATTCACAATAATCAATATGCCAACATGGTACATTTTAGGGTGGTATATTCTTAACCCCTACACGTGCAAACAACACCAAAATGTCTTGAAGAATGGTCAAGGAATGATGGAGCACAATCAACTGGCTGGCATTAAGGTAGACGTGGATCAGATCACATATGATTTTCATGTGATCATGGGTGGCCTCCTTTGGGATTCCTCTTTTGGGGGTGGGACTTCAGAGCTTAAACTATTTCTTACAGAAGAATATCCAGTGGCAGTCCCTCGAAATACATTTTATAGACAATTTATCACCCGAATGTAGATAAGTTGGGAAGAATCTGTTTCGATATTTGAAAGACAAGTTGCTCCCAGCAGTAGAGATCAGCAGAGCAACGTTCCCCATCCAGATGCATCAGCAAATGATGGAGGGACATAGGAAGCAGTGGGAGACACAGGAAGCTGAGATTATTGAAGCAATTAGGGCATGGACTAGCTAGACAATTAATACTATTCAAATCAGTCTGATCATCAAGTGTCTATCACTTCTCCTTTTCAGCCAATATGTCTTCCTTTTGTTTCACTTACTGTCTTTGAAATGTTACAGATAAAATCCCATATATCTTCAAGAAAATGGCAGAGAAAGAGCACATATATCACTAAACTTTTAACTTTTGGTTCTTTTGGTGCATAAACCTTTGCAGAAATGATTATATTAGGAGACATTTATTTGGACAAAAACCTAAGAGTGGCTACGTCATCAGCCCTTGTGTCAGGTTAATGTTGAGCTGACAGGAAAACAGTTTCCAATATGGTAAGGGTGCAATTCTCAAACTCTAATGTGCAGATAATTCGCCCAGGGGTCTTTTTAAAAATGCAGATTCTGATTCAGTAGATCTGGGGAAGGAGCTTAAAATTCTGCATTTCTCACATATTTCCAGGTGGTCCTGATGCTGCTGAACCCTGGACCACATTTCAAAGAGCAAGTAGGGGACAGAACACGTCTTTGGAGTCAAGCAAGGCATTAACCTCTTTGGGTCTTGTTTTCCTCAACTGCAAAATGGAGAAAATGCATGCATGATGAAATTCTTGTCAAGTTGAAATAAAACGAGCATTCTGAAAGTACTTTGTAAACTCTGCTTTCTCTGGTATTAATTTTTTTTTTTTTTACTAATATCATATTGCTTTACAAATCCTTCCTCTGTAGACAGCCTAAAAACAAATAAGGAATGGGAGGCCAGGTGCAGGAAATTATGCTGCATTATTGCTATTCAAGGCTTGACACTAATGTTGAAACCATGAACAAAATTCATTTTTATGGACATTGCTACTGAACCTATTAAGAATTCTAAAGATTTGATGCCTTGTTGAAGAGCTATGAGTATTTATTTGTTTTCTGGAAAAAAATTTCTTTTGAAAGTTTTGAATTTCCATTTTATATTATCTTTCCTAAGACCAGCTAACTTTCTCTACCCAAGTCCCAGTCAAAATAACCGATGGATATTTAGTATTGGATATGGGGGAAATAGTCAAACAGTAAAGCCATAATCTAATAATTGTAATTATACTATTTTCAAATACAATCTTTAGGCACTGTGGAACTAGAGAGCCTAATTTTCAAAGAACAAAGATAAAGCAATTGAACAGCTATTGAATATCAACAGGCCTTTCAGAAAATAGCTGAGTAAATAAACAGGCAGTACTAAGATTCCAACCCAATTACAAAAAAAACACAACTGTTGCTCATGGAACGTAGAAATCCTTTTGGAAAGTAAAATTTTAACAATAAGTTAAAATTCCAAGCTGACAAGATTTGTTTCCTAGACATGTTGCAAGGATTTTTTTTTTTTTTTTTAATAACGGGAAATTTCTGGACAATGGTCAGAAGTGATAAGAGCAGAAGTGGTCAGATGGGAGGCTGAGCCATTTACCGTAGATTCCCACATTTGGCTAGACTCAAGCGCCCACAGAAAGAAATTATTTTCCAGTACTTATGAGAACAGAATTGAGACATCATGCTAGTGTGAGTTTAGAAACATGAGTTTCTTAAACTCCAGTGTCTTTAACTGACTATATTCATATTAATAACTAACCTGAGGAAAGGTGGTGGCAACGGTGGTGTTCTCTGGGTGCAGTGGGGTAGAAAAGAGGGGACAATTTGATAAAGATAAGAATTAAGCAAATGGTCCCCAAGGAAATCAACGTCCTATTTTATGTCAAAATTTTTAAATATTTATATCCTGCATAATTATGACTATACAATTAACATACATTTAAGACTAAATTATTGATTCTTTTACAACTTCACTACATAATTAAAAATTCAGCACTAAGTATTTTATTCCCTTTTTCCTTTTCATGTTGTTCATTATCAATGTACTCTAAGATCCTATTCATTTTTTTCCAGTATTTTTAAAAATTATGTTTTCCTGTCTATTTTACTCTGTATCTGAGCTCCTCCTTCTTGTCCTATCTTCAAGCCCCCTTGTTGGTGTCAGCTGAGGTCTTGAGTGATGGCTATCGACTCACCACCTTCTCATATACATGCGTTTGTGCTGAGTCATTGAAGGGGAGGGAATAAAAAGGGTCAGGAGGAAAGAATAACGAGATAACTGACAATATCAGCCATACCACATAACTATCTCTATAAGATCGAGAAAGCATATTATCAGTTTTATAATTTTTTACATTTCTATTTATATTGTCTGTGCATATCTGTATTTGGCATGTGAATAATTCTTAACAAATATACTTGAATATATACATACACTGTAAGCATATTTGGGTAAACCTGGTATATCTTAGTCAATTTTGAAAGACCAAAGCAGATTGAAGAGGGAGCAATGGTTATTTTATAAGCTATTTAAGTAAACAAGATGAATTTGAACAAGAACCGAGACAAACTTGCTGAGAACATTTATTGCTGCCAGTCGAGATTAATGAAGTATAGAACATCTTTGCTAAAGATGAGCCGAGGGGAGTGTCACCTCTTCCCTCTTTAAGCCTTTGTCACGGGGCTGTCACAGTCAGGCTGGGGGACGCCCTTGCATCCTGGGTGGTCCTGGTGGTAGCACCTGTTCCCTGGTGACTAGCTTTGCTGCACAGTTTGAAGCCGCTTCATTTTTGTTTTTTGCCTTCGAGCTGTTCTCAGCTTTTTAGTTTTTAAGAAACTATCCTCTAACTGGTATAGAAAGTCTTCAATTTGTCCAACCTAGAAGAAATAAACAGATACAACAAGATTTGTTGTTTTCCCAGGTTTTGTATACTTACAAAAATGGTGAGGTGTTTAAAATTAAATGGCACATACAGGCCCATGTGGGAACAGAACTGGCACAGGCAGACACAGTTAAACATAAAAACCTCCTGTGTCCATTTCAGGTCCCCTGTTTTCAGAACCTGAAGCAGAGATCCAGGAGTTTGCTTTATCACACAATCCTATGTACTGGGTATGGGGATGAGGATTCTTATCACTTGCTGTCTTTAATGGTTGGTAAACCAGGGATTTCCAAAAGAAATGAATAGTGAAAAATTAATTTGTTATCAAACAGAAGAATGAAAACAAACAAATTCACCCTACTCAAAGCCAGAGATTCTAGCATTTGTATGCCCCTGGCCAACTTGGGAGAAAAAATGAATATTCCAGATTTTCTGAGCAAGAAACATTTCTCTTTTAAATCAAAAGGAAATTTTGAAAAAATACATTTCCTTAAAAAATGCCACACCTTAGGGAATAAGATAAAAATCATGATATACAAAACAATAATTCTTAAAAATAAACTATTAGTTTTTCTCCAAAGGAAACTTGGAATTATTTAATGACAGTTGGTTGAATGTATTATACTATTTGTCAGAAAGAACTACAGAATAAAACAGTTTACATATATGCTGAGTTGGGCCCTCATGAAAGGCTGCAGATGTAACAATTCATACTTAACCTTGACTCCCAGGACCTGCATATTGTATTAACCTCAATTCACTCACTGAAGAGCCAACTGTCATAAAGGTAGCTCAAAGCTGGGGCATTTACTATTCATGGTGCGTGAACATATCATCTGCTTAAGATAAAAGCACTTACGACTTCAATTTTCCAATTTTGAGTTCTACCTTTAAATCACTTGATTTATCATTCAGAGTAGTATCCAAAAGATAATTCAGACTGTCAGAAAGAGAATAATAAATGGTAGCACTCATCTATATGTTATACTTAGGTCTTATATCACACTAGGTGACGTAAACTGTCCACTGGTTTCATTAAGAAAAAAAGGTAACTTATTTATGTGAAAATAATTCTTTTGAAAACCTAAAATTACTTCAGCTAGATTTTTCCAAAAGCGCATTGTTGTTTATGATGTCTAATCATTGCGGCAATCATCAAAATAATTTGACAGAATATTTTTGGATGGTCATGAAGTCTATGCTTTATTCTATGTATTCCATACATTTATACCATCCAATTACACCAAAATCATAAGTAACAAATTAACATAGAGCACAATCAAAACAAATAATGGATGACACTTTACTGTTACTTCAAAGTTGATGACTTACTCATGTTATTTGCACTGAAAATGTATCATTTAAATCAAAGCTCTTTACAATTAGAATGTTTGCAATTAGCCCAAATACAATTTAAAATTACAATCCTGATGCAACAAAAAGGCTTCCTTCAATGATACAGAAAAATAATTGTTTTTAAATATCCATTAGGTGGCTGCTGTTTTTTTCTTCATTGTGTTTATTAAGAGCAGTGTTGACTAACTGGGTTGCTATTCACTAAAAAAGAGGAAGAAGAAGAAACACAATGTGTCTTTGGAATAGAGAGGATCACTAAATTAAGCTGGGGGGTTTAGAGTACACGCTACATGCATGGCTCACCTGGCCCACGTGTTCGCTTCCTACCTGGTCTGTCTACACCCTGTCCTTTCAACCCATTCTCCTAAGGACACTGGAATGATCTTTTTAAAATGTGAATCCAGTCACATTTTTCCCTTGCTTAAAATACCTAAGTGGATTCCCAAGTCCTTAACATGGCCTACATAGCTCTGGTTGATCTGGTTTCACTTGCATCTCTAATTCTGTCTCCTATCACTCCATCTGCCTCAGCCATGTGGTATGTCTCTCAGTTATCTGAGCACAGCTGTGTAGTGTTCTCTGCACAGTGTATTTTCTTAATGCTATGCCTCTGATGGAATAGTCCATTGGAACCCTTACCCATCGCCTGGATTTCAGGTTCAATATCAGTGCCTCAGGGAAGTTTTCCCTGATAACCCACACCGGGTTGGTTCTCTCAGTAACAGCTCATTCATCTCTTTGCATATTGAGTTTTTTACATAACTGTTTACAATAATTTGTATACTGTCTTCTCATCTGGGTTTTAAGCTCCGTAAGGCAGGAACTAGGTCCACGCTGTTCACTATTCCCAACACCTAGGATATGGTAGATCCTCAGCAATCCCAACTCTGATAACAGAGTGAAGACATTCAGAAACCAATGCGTGTTTCCCCAATCAAAGTGCTGCCTGGTAGGGAGCATATCAGTAGGCTTTCTTTTCTTTTACAAATTAATCACTACATTCATATGCCATCATCCTATTACCATTGTTTAGCTTTGAGACTCTTGAGGTAAAATAACAACCAAGTGTGGTCTCCATACTTGAAACATGCAGAGGTAGACAGGGCACTGGATAAGGAGTCAGGAGTGTTGAGGTCTGCTCTTGGCCTGGCTTATAACCCCAATCTGAGACCCCAGAGAAGCCACTTGGCCTTTCTGAGCTTAGTTTTCACCCAGCTTTGGTGAAGACAGTGTTGGCCTGGATAATTTCCAAGGACATACCAAGTCAAAAATTCCATGACTTGTACTGACGTCAGATCTAAGTAGTCCAGTCTTAGGATGAGCCCTCACATTTTTCAAATCAGAGGTTATTCTCTTAGATTGTACCATTAGATGAATGACACAATATGCAGTAAAGTGAGCCAATTTTAGCTTCTGTACTTACTGACGTGTAGGAGAGCTGCGACATGTTTTTAGTGAAGCTAGTTCTTTATGTTCTTTTTTTAAGTCAAGGAAAGAAAAATACTGGTTGAAGAGAAAATAGATTCATATAACTAAGAAGAACAGATTGCAAGTGATAGAAAGTTCTATAAAGCCCTTAGGGAAATAAAACACAAAGAAATATGTAAGCATGTCAGGAAGGAAATGAGCCAGATTTTGGAGCAGAGGTTTTATTAGTTTTTCTTTTCCATACAGAATCTACTTGCTTAACTATATAAGACAGGCTACTTGGTCATTCTAGATCTAATTTTCCCATTTACAAGAAGAGCACGTAACATTTTCTCGTGTATCTATGTGTCAAAGCTGACTTGGCATTACAGAGGCATGAACGTCAGACCAAATGAGCTTTCAGAGAATTTTGGGATGTCAGATGATAGAGGGGAACGAAGTTCAGAAGAAGGGTGGATTCTCATGTACCACATGGCTATCAGTCATAATCCACATCAAAAAGTAATGAAATTGTCATCAACTAGTTTCTCAGGACCTTTTAATTCATTAACACAAAACTCTATCAGTGAGGATTTAGTGTAGATTCAAAAAGTTCAGAACAAAGATGAATATGAAACTCTAAAAGAGAAGACAGGCTGAGAAGTAGAGGAGATCTCAACATTGAAATTCTAACAGTATAAAAACAAATAATGCTAATTAGGGAGAAATGTGGAGGTAACTAAATAGATCTATATATATATTACAGGAAAATTTCTAGTCAGTGCAGATTTCAAAGGAAGTACATTCGTGCAAATATTTATTGAACATCTGCTATGTATTTGGCGCTATACTAGAGAGAGAAACAAAAATGTCAAGAGGATTTTTGTGAGGATCTCACATTCATGTAGGAAAGGCAGTTAATGAAAAAATGATTGCAACAATGCATAAATGTTTATTTAAGAATTACGTACAGGGGCCAGCCCGGTGGCGCAGCGGTTAAGTGCACACGTTCCGCTTCTTGGTGGCGCGGGTTTTAGGGGTTCGGATCCCGGGTGCGGACATGGCACCACTTGGCACGCCATGCTGTGGTAGGCGTCCCATGTATAAAGTAGAAGAAGATGGGCATGGATGTTAGCTCAGGGCCAGCCTTCCTCAGCCAAAAGAGGAGGATTGAAGGCAGATGTTAGCTCAGGGCTAATCATCCTCAAAAAAAAGATACGTACAAAAGTTCTATTAGCAAAAATGTCAGAACAGTGAATTCTATCTGAAGGAACATGAAGGTATATTGGAGGTGAGAGGAGCCGGGTCTTTGTCAGGACAAGAAGTGCATTCCAGACAGAGGAAACGTCATCCATAGAAGCAAGGCTGTGAAAGAACATGGGTTATTTGATAGGGATGAGTTGCTTATAGCGTAGATGTGGGCATGAGGGGACTGGGAGTAGAGATATATACAGCAGGAAATATAGATTGGGGTCCGCTTGCAAAAAGTTGAAAAATATTTACCTATGTGGCTAGAAAGATCAATCTGGCGCCATTCTGTGGAGTGACATGCAGCCGGGAGACTAGAAGCCAGTGGTTTAATTAGGGGACCAGCGCAATAAGATATGAAAAATACTATGAGGGCCTGCATCAAGGATTTAAGAGACATTTAGGAAGTGGGGGCTACAGTCTTGATGAAAAAGTCTGTGTTGGGATAAGAAGACAGTCAGAATTAGGAATCACTGTGAAGTTTCTAACTTGAGATAATGATGATATCTTACAGAGGCAAGGAATACAACTAGAGGAATAGTTTTAGGGAAAAAGAATGAGTTCGATTAGTGACAAATACAAGGGATCAAAAAAAGGTCACATAATCAGGAATGTGTTAAAAAACTGACCTGTAACAATAGCCTAGTACTAGGCTAAAAGGCAGAATGATGCAAAACTCCAAATTGAAAAGAAAAAACAACCCACTGTTTTGTAGTCCACCACGTGAGAAGCATTCTAGCAGTTAAAAAGCGCTAAGAAAAACAAACCAAAAAAATGATGCTTTTAGTTATTCGGAACAAAAAAGTGGTCATGGCAGAGATATGACCTGCTGGGTTGAAGTGATATGTCTGGGTTAGTATCCCAGTTCCAGCAATTTCTTGGTGTGAGACTTTGGATAAACTTATTTAACTTCTTTTAACCCAAGTTTTCTCATCTGTCAAATGCTTCGCAGGGTTCTAGTGAGATTAAATCAAACAATTTATG